AAGAAATGTATAATGTATCAAAAATTTATAAGCAAAAAATATAATTCGAGAATCAACATAAATAAATCACACGTGACACGATATTTAACTTGATTTATTTTATATATTTTTACGGGTGAAATAAACAAATAATTTACTATAAACATAAAGATTACTAAGTGCATAAGTGATAAACTTTTCTCTATTTCATAAACCCGATGTATTTATCGCAAAACTCCGTGTATCGTAAAATATCTTATAATATTTTTATAAAACCATCTCTACAATATAAACTCTAATAATTACGTAAATCACAAAAAATAATCTTTCTAAAATAATTATTTTTCATTTTTAAAGATTAATGTATTATAGATTTATAGGAAAAACAAAGTTAATCGTCGAGAATAATTATTTTATAAAAAAACTAACTATTTATTTATCAAATAAAATTAAAATCGAATTAGCCAGTGCTCGACATGTGGGCTATTCGCCACTACAATTTACCCACCCACTAGAAGTGGTAAAATGTTGGAAAAGTTAAAAGCCCCACGTATTGTAAACCTTGTAGAGCTGTTCCCATCATGTTCCTCTCCTTTTTCAATCAATGGGAACGGATGTAAAAATTTATATAAGATTGTGAATTTAATAAATTATATTAAAAAATTTAAGAAGTGTGAAATTATAAAATTTTAAGAATTATGAAATTAAAAAAATTAATAAAATCTAAAATATAAGAAAATTTAAAATTTTAGGTTTCGAGCCTTTTTGTCCATCCCTGCTTTCAATGTCTCAATCATCCAATCCCATTGAATTCATTCATTCATTCATACAAATTATAGTGTTTGGTCTAAAAGGAGCTTTATATATATTTGAAATAATAATAATTATGAGCATTGACGAAATCAAATAGGTAATTTAACCTAAAGATAGATAAATAATTGATAAAATAACTTGAGTGACCGAAAATGCCTTATAATTTACGATTTTAATCGATTTTTTTTGGATTTGTAAAAATAACCAACGAATTCGCAATACAGTTTTCAAATTCGCAACGCGAATTCGTCAATTTCGTAACTCGAATTCGCCAAATTCGCAACTCGAATTCGCCAAATTCGCAACTCAATTACCAGTATAGGTAAACACGGTAGAAAAAAATCTGGATTCGCCAATTTCGCAACGCGAATTCGCCAGCCAATTTCGCAACTCAATTACCGATATAGGCACGAATTCGTGTTTGTTCAAATTGGAAAATTCTAGTCCACGTATGAATCACTCAGCTAAACCTACGCCTGTAAATGAATTGAACAAACACGAACGAGGGTATGTTCGTTCGTTTGTGTTTACCTATATCGGTAATTCAGTTACGAAATTGGCGAATTCGAGTTGCGAAATTGACGAATTCATATTTTTTCTACCGTGTTTACCTATATCGGTAATTGAGTTACGAAATTGGCGAATTCGAGTTGCGAATTTAGAAACTGTATTGCGAAATTGGAGTTCGTGTTGCAAATTTGAAATCGCGTTACGAATTTGTTGGTTATTTTTGCAAATCCAAAAAAATTGATTAAAATCGTATATTATAAAACATTTTCGGTCATTCAAGTTATTTTCTCTAAATAATTTAACCTAAAGATTGCAAGTAAGTTTATAAAGGTTTTAACATTTTTAAATTAATAATTTAATTGATTAAAAGTTAAAAGTATTTGAAATTCATATTCTCCAAGGATCGTTATATATTCGTATTATCTTGAATTGTAATTGTTTTGAAGTAATTATTTAAATTGGTTTTATTGCGACATTTTAAATTAATATTTTATAATTAATGGAGTTGAATTTTTAACTTGGTAAATTGACCCCACACGGTTGCATTCAGTGCCTTCGTGCCGTCCACGTCGGTCTAATAAAATAAACAGTGGTAAACGCCCCTATTAATGTTGTGTCAGCCGCGCACCGTCTTCTAAACTGCCGGTCCAAAATAGAATATTAAATTTGTTCAAAGAGAGTTTTCTCATAAAATCACCGATTCATCTGCCGTCGGATTCTCCATCTTAGGATTCCGTAGAAATGAAAAATTAACCACACGCATTGAGCCACTTGATGACCTTGAGCTAGCATCAATGGTGTTTGCTGTCAAGATTTGACAACATTATCTTTTTGGTGAGAAGTATCATATCTTCACCAATCATAAAAACCTCAAGTATATTTTTACTCAGAAAAAGTTAAATCTCTAACAACATATATGGGTTGAGTTGCTTAAAGATTATGACTGCGTAATATATTATCATCAAGGAAAGACAAATGAGTTGTGATCTTTCCTAGCGCGTTTAAGTTTATCCAGTATTGGTGGTTTGTTAGCCGAGTTACGAGTCGAGTCAGAGTTGGTAGGTGAAGTCAAAAAGTTACAGAGTTCAAATGACTGGATGAGAAGCCGGATCGAGTAGGTTCGCCAGGGCGAGGCATCAGGTTTTGAGCTTCGAGATGGAGATGTGTTATACTTCAAGGGTCGGTTGTACGTACTTGCAGATGCTCAGTTAAGTAGTAAAATTTTCCATGAAGCACACTGCCCAAGCAATAACAAGATGTACGAGGAGCTTCGCATATTGTTCTATTGGTCGGGTATGAAAAGGGAAGTATCACAGTTTATCGCTAAATGTCTAGTGTGTTAGCAAGTTAAGGCAAAACACTCATTTATGCTTATCAACCTTAAAAATTACTAAAAAATCTCTTAACAAAATTTAAGAAAATAAATTAAACTATCTCACTCTCATTTATTTATTTCCCGTATCTTCACGAAAACATAAAACTTTAAAATTGATTAACGATTCAAACAAATTAGATTGTAATATTTAATTTAAAATCAACAATTAATATTTAAATATTATGTTTTGTTTTGTTATTGTTTATATTAGATCACGTTAATAATTCTCGCTAATTTCATTAAAAAAAATAACAGTTGATATCTATGGGTGAGTTGTAAGCCTCGTCGACACATCATAAGAGTAGGACCCAGCTTATTGTCGAGGCACCCAAATTAACTGGCATCCACTTTTTTTTTTTTTTTTGCGCTTGAGAAATCTCTTTTGTCTGTAATTCATGAGCCTCCACCTACAAGAGATAAAACAATTAAATAAATAGGAAGATCAGGCCGTGTGCTTTGACATTTTGCAAATGTCAACCCCCAAAACCACACCGGTTTTCAATGTCGGAATCACAAAGCTTATAGATAGAACAAATCAGAAACGACAAGCTTTTAGATACCCAATTTGTCAACGATCCTCTCTCTCTCTCAACTTTACTTTTTTTTTATATAAAAAAACAAAATTATTTTATTTTTCCATTGTTCTTTATATATATAATAATCGCAAAAGCCCACTCCAATACAAATCCCCTCTTTCTATCTTCACAAGCATAAGCATCTAAAGTCAGCGCCTTGTTTTGTCTTCATTTTCTTCTTTGTCTTGCCGCAGGAGCCTGCTGAAAAAGGTACGACCTTCCCATGGATGTTGGTTGGGATTTATATGCGGTGGTGAGAGGTTGCGCCACCGCTACGACAACCTGCAGAAGCGGCGGTGTTGCAGACTGCTCCATCATGGCGGATTTATACTCCCAATCCAGTTTTCCATCGTTTGCTAGTCAAGAGCCTTTTCAGGGTCAGTTATTGTCTTTTCCGATTCAGTTTGAAGCCGGAAATAATATGGAGGAATTGCATGAGCTTTACAAGCCTTTCTTCCCCAAATCGCAGCCTCTTCCTTCACAGATGAAACAACAGCAAGAACATCAACTCAAGCCCAAGCAGTCTGGCCCTGCTACACCCAGTAGCACTTGTAGGACTCCCAGTTCTCATAATTCTCGGTCTAAAAGAAGGTAAATTTCGGCATTAAAACAAATTATTTTCAATTGAGGAGCTCAAAAGTTGAAAATTTTTGTTGTTTTCCCCTTGAATAGAAAGAATCAGCTTAAAAGGGTTTGCCAAGTTCCGGCAGAGGGTTTATCTTCAGATGTGTGGGCATGGAGAAAATATGGTCAAAAACCCATCAAAGGCTCTCCTTATCCAAGGTAAACAATGTGGTTTTGTCTCTTTGCATGCTGAATAATTTGATTTATAATGAAATTTGTTTCTTCTTCTTCTTTTTTTGTATGGATATTCAATTAATGGGTTTTGTTGTTTGCTTTCGTTGAATAACAGGGGGTATTACAGATGTAGTAGCTCGAAGGGCTGTTCGGCCCGGAAACAAGTTGAACGACACAGATCCGACCCGAATACGTTCATAGTCACTTACACGGGTGAACACAACCACCCTGCTCCGACGCACCGGAATTCACTCGCTGGCAGCACCCACCAGAAGCCTTTCACTCCACAAACGGTCGCCGCCGGTGACTCCACCAAACCTTCCTCGGGTAAACCCATGGACAGTTCGTCTCCAGCGACCTCCATGGATGAAGGGGTTGTGGTTCAGACTTCAGAGTACAAAGGTGGACAGCAGGGAGGATTTGGTTGAAGAAGAAGGGGAAGATGATTCGGGATGTCTGACACGGCGGTGAGCCATGATTTCTTCGAGGGTTTAGAAGGAATTGCTGAATTGGTCGCCGGAGATTGTTGGTCTGATGATCTTCCGGCTACTTTTGGCCTTCCTTGGATTGCGAACAGTGCCGCCGGTGGCATATAAAACTTGCTCGGATATGTCTCTTTTTTTCTTTTTCACCTTTCATTCTTGTATATGTCATATACACTTTTTGGTAGAATCTAAACCAACATGCTTTTTATTGTGTAATTTTTTAGGACTCTATTAACGAGTCTTGTAGATGAAAAAAGAATTAGTTTCTGGTTTCTAGTCTTTACTTTTTGCTTTCAGACAACATTAAATCTCCTAGTATTTATGTTTGAACTGGAAATGACCATTGTGTTTTCGAGATGATATGATCATATTTTTGTATACTTGAATAGATTATTGAAATTTCATTCCTCCCTATTACATATTGTAGTAGGGGTGCTTCGTTGTATGTTTGGTCCTTTCTGATCCATGCTGAATTGGTCACTGGATAAGAGTTTTTGATTTTATTCATCTGCATAAACCTTTTCTTACACCCAATTCAGAAACAAGTAACTAAAGTACAGGAAAGCAATTGATTTGTCGAAATTAATTGTCTCGTGAGATTTAGAGTTGATTCAGGGAAAGACAATGTGAAGCAATTTAGGCCTAGTTTTTTCAGTTGAAAAACAACATCCTCTGTTATGGGAGTTCTCATGGAATACAAGAGTAATAGAAAGTCATTGTTCATTGGGTTACATCAAATATGCTATTTGTTTTCTCCTTGCTTTGCACTTTCAACGAGTGCCGGCATACAAGTACAAATTTGCGGATTCAGAAAGAGGCAAAGTGCAACAAAGATGGTTTTTCTTTTCAGCTAACGAAGTGAAATTGTTGAATAACCAGGGGAAAAGGTGCTACCAAATTGACTATGTTCCAGCTCCAAGAATCACTGAAGCTGACAAAACAAATGACAGAAAGTAAGTGGAACATTTCATACTGCTCGTTGGAACTATCACCGAGAGATCATTCTTTGCTTGAAAGAGATCTGATATATGTTGTCAAGCATTAACAATCTTTAGGAATAAATGGCCTGAAATCTGAATTAGATATCTCTAGGAAGATGACAAAATGAATGGTGGAAATAAGTGGTACATTTTGTTCCGTTCAGTAAGAACCTGTTACCAATGCGTTATCCTTCGTTTGATAGAGATCAGATATATATCATCAGTAATTAACAATTTATTGGAAGAAAAGGTCTGAATTGGATCTCAAAGTGCTTTTCTCAACTAGTTAAAGAACCTGTATTCGTTTCTTTTAACGAAAGAGTTATGTGAAGGACAATAAACATCATCCTCAAGAAGATATTTTCTTCCTCTTGGTGGGGGTTGTTGCTTGTGTGGATAAAATATGAAATCAGTTCATTTGTGGTATTATGGTATTTTTAGTACAATATTCTGATTAGGGAAGTCTTGAATTTTATATTTGTCAAGGTCATTGCAGAGAGCACTTGATAGAAGACTGTATCTTCTTCTGTACGGTGATAGTAATGGAGCTCCTAGTGGGAATCCTGTGTGGCATTTTCCAGAAAATGTTTACGATTCGCAAGGTAAGTGTTGTTTTCTTTTTTTGTTTTCTTGACGTGATATAAGCACATATATTTGCAGTGTGCAAAGTCTGCCTTGGAATCTGTACTTGGAGGCCTTTCTCACACTTACTTCGTTGGGAATGCTCCCATGGGGCATATGGTTATAAAGCCGAAGGAGAATGTGCCCGAACCATACGAGTTATTTCAAGCGAAGTGGTTCTATTTTCTTCTTCCCGTGCTGATATAATGCTTCTCTTTGCTAGTCCTTTTAATCAAATTACAATCTCATCAGGATAACATACATGCATTTTCAATTGGTGCTTTTCTTTTTGTCAGCGGTTCTTCCTCAAGCGTCAAGTGATAGATACCAACAAGTTCAATATCCGGAAATGCGAGGAATATTTCTGAAGAAGCTGAATTTTTTAAGAAGATGATTATCGGCTTAATTTTTTAGGATGCTTACAAGTAGTAGTATATGCTCTAAAAACTCAATCTTTAGATAATAAGCGTTTAAATATCCTGTAATTTATGGTGTTCAAATCTAGGACATCTAGAAATAATAATTTTCCTTTTTATGAGGTAACTTGATTCATGCATATCAATTATAATATTTTAAATATGAAAAACAATAAATATGTACGTAAAATAACATAAGAATATCAAAGATTGGGGATGTAAATGAGACGAGACAGAGCTACTCGATATCGATTCGGTCAAAGTTCGGTTAACTCTCAATTGAATGGACTTGACTCTAGCTCGAACTCGACTCGAATTTTTAACGAGCCAAAATGAGCTACTTGATATTTGACTCGAAAAGTTCACGAGCTACTCGAAAATAATATATTAAAATTTTACATTTTTAAATTAAATTATTAATCATATTTTCCAACAAAAATATATAAATTGGTTCGTCCGTAGGAATAAGTTGCAAAAAAAAAACATCTTGAAATTTGTTTGGTTGAAACTTGATGCCAATTCCCGTTGGAACCGCACAAAAAATTGTATGGTTCAACCTCGAAACCGTGACAACAACAGCAATGACAAAATTTACCCAAGATAAAACTGCATTGTTGTCTTTAATTTACCCATTCTCAGCTGCATTTGATCATCTTCCTTTCAATTCGCAAGTGATTCCAGACTATCCATGGAGGTTAGCATCTATTCTTTTCCCTATTGGGTTTGCTTTTCCATCGTTTTAGATTGATTAAATCAATATTCATAATTAATTTGTTAAAAAAGTGACATCCGAGAGAGACTTCAAATATTAACACGTGTCTAAAATATGGTATAGATGGTGAAGAACTTCGTGTCGGGGGTGGCGGAGATGAGGAAGCCGGAAGCCAGCATTAAGGGCGTCGACATAACAGTGTGAGTAGAGATGGCGTCGAATACGGCGCCAAGGTGGCCGTCAGCAACCCTATAGCCATTCCATCCCCATATGTGAAATCCAGTTCGATTTAAAAGTGACGGCAGGGTTTATAAAACTACTATATTATACTCGAAAACATGTCGTAAAAAGTAAAACTGAGGGTATGCAACTATGAAACAGCGAGATTGTAAGAGGAAAGATAGAGGATTCGGGGTCGTTGAAGGGGAACGATACGACAATACTGGAGGTGCCGATGAAGGTGCCGCACAACGTACTGATAAGCTTGGCCAAGGATATCTGTAGGGACTGGGATATCGACTATGAACTCAACGTTAAACTCATCATTGATCTTCCCGTCTTCGGAGACATCACCATCCCTGTCAGTCGTCAAGGAGAGATCAAGCTTCCTACTCTCAAAGACTGGTTTTGATTCATTATTCTTTCTATCGTGTTTTATTTCCTCTTCCCGGTATTTGTGAAAAATTATGTTTTTTTTAACATTGTCTTATTATTGAACAAAGTTATCTGCAAATTTACATTTTTTTTCAAGAATCTGGATGATCTCCTTTTGGATTTGGTACGTACATACGTATGTTAGCCTTTTATCTTATATAAGTCCGAAAATAATGTCGTTCTATGAATAATTTTAAATTAGAAGTTAGTGTTTGTGCAGCTAACCAAGCACACTTTTCATTATGCTTTATTGATTAGATCGACACTTTAGTTAAGACACACCCAATCATGAACCTCTTAGTACACTCTAAGAATTAGTTAGGCTCTTGTCTCTTTTGTCATTAAAAAAACAATTTTAAAAATAAAACATAAATATTTATGAATAAATATCAAAGTGTTGAATCCCAATCCTCGAGGGAATATGAAATTCATAAAGTCGTAGTCATGGGGTACATAAGCAATGAATAAGAAGATGAACATGTCAACCACCAGCTGCCGAGTCAGTTTAATTGACTCAATCAAATTTTGAGCTCTGAACTGAGTTTGGACGATTCAGCAATCCATGTCAATTTCCAAGCTTCATGCAAAATATCCGAA